AACACAACAGGCAATAAAATATAAAAAATAGACAATACTTGGTGCAAAAAGGCAGATGGAAACGGCAGCAGAATTAAAGATTAACAGATTTACAGCAGTGACAGTGCAAAATAAACAGTAACACAGGCACGTATATACAAGTTGCATGTAATTTAAAAGTTGCCACGTCCAAACCCTGAAAGAAAAGAGATAAAAAGCCCTTTTAAGATGTGTTATTATCAGACTCTAGTGTTGGAGAGGAGGGGGGGGAGAGTGAACAAGGCTCCTGCCAGTATTTCATCATGCTGCCTGTCCGGGCCAACACATATCAGATCACACTGGACTGAAATAGTTCACAGGTCGCTCCCACTATAAGGTGGGGGGGGGTTAAGTTTTAAAAAAAGCTCATAATTAACATTCAGCATCGAATAAAACGAGCAGAACTATCAAATAAAGAGCGTTTAAGCTGCAAAACGTCTCGGAGTCGAGCTTTTCGACGCGGTTAACGCGCACACCCGGTCGCCATGGAGACTGGCTGCACGTGCACCCGTACCTGGGGGGGGCGAGGTGAAGCAAATACCTGTAGTTTTTAGAGGCTTTTCATTCATCAGGTAACGTCGACTCACCGCAGCTGTCACCGTAGCTTAGCAGGCTAACTGAGCGGCGGAAGGAGAAATGTCGAGTTCCGCGGAGATGTGTGTACTCTTAAAACTGCTGTCTGTCCGGCGAAGCAGCCAGCATTGTTTTTGAAGTTAAGTTGACTTGTTGGAAAGCATTTGTTGTTGAATTAAAAAGGTTTCAGTTGGCGTTACTTTGAGCACGCCTCGTAGCGCTTCTTGTTTTAGTTGGTTTGAAGCGGTGGATTGCGCAGGCGCCCGTGTGCGAGCAGCGCCGCCCTGGTGGTCGGAGGACGGAATTTGCATAAAATAAAATTAAAAATATTTTTGTTTTCATGTTATTTTATTCATGTTTTATGTTTTTATTTTATAAATAGGACTAATTCACAGATTACTTTGTTGTTTATTAAATTTGCATAAAATAAAATAAAAAGTAAAAAATATTTTTTGTTTTCATATTGTTATTTTGTTGTCATTATAACTTGTTGTTGATGTTATACATTTTTTT